CCCCTCACCCCTCCCCCCATCCTTCTCACCTTCGTCGAAATCTTCATCATAAAAATCGATCTCCTCATCCTCTTCCTCCTCTGCCATTGCATAAACCCCTGAACCCTCTAAACCCCCATTCCCTCACCCCTTCCCCCATCCCTCTCACCTTCATCAAAATCATCGTCATCAAAATCAATCTCCTCTTCCTCTTCCTCCTCCGCCTCCTCCTCATCCACCACAATTCCCTTGCTTGCTTTCTGCACGCACAAGCAAGCCACCCAAAGATTTTGGGAGAAGGTGAGATTCAGCCAACGCCCTTTGTACCTACACGGTAACGCACACCACTCTGACCTGAACAGTAGCGGCCACCACTCTCCCTCATCTAACCAGAAACGAACAATGCTCGCCTCACTTCCATGAATAACAAACCATGCTCACCTGAACGAACCAGAAACCACGCTCACCTGCACGAACCACTGTCTGCCTGTAAGCCGCTTCTCCTTGGATGCTGCGAGTGCTGCATCTGACAGCAACCTATTTAGGTGGCAGTGGGAGTTAAAGGGGATGGAAATTGTGAGGGGAGGACAGTGGCCACAAGTGGGGTGCAAGGAAAGGGCAGCATTCAAAGTAAAGAACGACATTTTTTGCAGAATGACCCACATGCTCTTCTCGAGTTCCATCACTATCTCCAATGGCTGCTGTGATGTGAAGTGCTGCTGCTTTCGACTGCTGCTGACTGCTGTTGACTGCAGTTGACCACAATTGACTGCACTGAATGTTGGTGACTGCAATATTTTACAAATGAAAGCAGTTGACTGATTTTGACTGTGATTGACCGCAATCGACTCTCACAGCAGGAGGTCTCACTTGGCCTTCTCCAGGGCTATCTCTGCCTCAAACCGATCACGCCACTCTGTGAATGTCTCCACTGTCACTGAAAGTGACCCCAATTGACCGCTAATGACTGTGGTTTGATGCTATTGACTGCGGTTGAATGCAAGTGACTGCAATTGACTTCAATTGACTCTAACAATAATCTCTCACTTGGCCTTCTCCAGGGCAATCTCTGCCTCGAACCGATCGCGCCACTACGTGAATGTCTCCACTGTCACTGAAAGTGACCCCTATTGACTGCTAATGACTGTGGTTTGATGCTGTTGACTGCGGTTGAATGCAATTGACTGCAATTAATTCTAACAGCTATTCTTACTTAGCCTTCTCCAGGGCAATCTCTGCCTCAAACCGATCGCGCCACTCTGTGAATGTCTCCACTGTCACAGGTAGACCGTGCGGCTCTATCACCTGACAAAGCGGCAGTCAGAGGCAGCCAAGCAAGCGAGAGAGAGAAAGAGACATGCGGTCACAAGCCGGGAAACAAAAGAAAGAAATGCATTTCAAAGAAACGGCCTCTGTGACTGTCTTTAACACACACCAGCAACCCGTGTGGCTCAAATACCTGGTAGAGGAGAGGTGTGGAGGGAAGGTGGAAAGGGAGAGGAGAGAGAGGGCGACTGGTAACAGCGCCGGCCCCTCCTCCTCCACCTTCTCTCTCTTTTCTCTCCACACGTTACCAGTGTGTTATCTCTGCTGCTTTTGGAGCTTGTAACCCGACGCACATCCTCTTTTGCCACCTCCCCTTCCTAATCCTGCACTCCTCAATATTCACCCCCCCGCTCTCCCTCTCTCCTCTAACTTGCTCTGCCCTTAACGTGCAAACTTACCTCCTCCTTCTCCTCCTCCTCTTCCTCCTCCTCCACTCCGACATACTTCTCTCTCAGCCACTCCTTGGCTGACGTGGCAAGAGTGTACATCATGGCCATCCCAAGGTTCTCCTCGGCCTGTGAGTGTGGTGTGGCCGCATGGGGGGGTGATGGCATGATGGCATGGGGGCATGGAGGCATGGATAGAGGCATGGGGCATGGGGGCATGGCGGGGGATGGATAGAGGGAGGGATGAGGAGAGTGACAAGGGCCAGAGAGTACATCGGTGCACGATAAGGGTGAATATGAAAGAATACTGATTGCATCGAATGACAAGACATGCCTTACCATGAGCGCACACTCAAATGAAAGGTTAATTATTGCATATATAAATTGTAGTAGTGAGGGAACAAGCAAGGGGCAGGGCGTCAGATGCACTTCTGATTCCATCACACTCCCGGCACACGCCCCTCTTTGCACGCACGCGACCACACTCCGGTGATGCGACGCACAGAGGAGGCAATGTGCTTAAATCGAAGGGTTGCTTCGATGAGTGGGCTGCGGGAGATAAGGTCTCGGCCGATGCAAATGGATGCAGTGCGGTGGTGAGTGGTGAGAAGCAGAACGAGAGTGGTGCTGATGGTATAATGGTGATGGTGATGCTAATGCAAATGGTTTGGCTCGAGCCCATCCCTTTATTTTTATCCATCATTCGCCCTTTCAGAACTTGAAAATAAAAGCAATCATGGCTCAAATGGAGGTGGCATAGGAACAACCCAGTATGAAAAGGTTCAAAGGGACAAACCTGATGCAACACAAGGTCGACTAAAACAAGTGACGTGAAACAAAATAGTTTACAGATACCACTTCGTATGAAACATAAGTATCCATATCAGAAGGCGTAGAATGTAGAGAAAGCTTATGATCCATACCTCAACGCGGAAAGCTTAGAAAACAGAAAATAATAGAAATCCTACAGAGAGATCCATTGCTTCTGAAATAATAGAAACAGGAAGACTGGTGGGGTGGGCCATCATAACCTGACCTTTTTAAAAGTGACTCCAATAGCGTTGAGTCACTGCAAGGCCACTGTACAACAAATGACACGACACGCCTTAACAGGAACCCACCCACACTCAATGACAAGATATTTAGTGCATAGCTTGTAGTAGTGAGAGAACGAACAGAGGCAGGGCGTCAGATGCACTTCTGATTCCATCACACTCCCGGCACATGCCCCTCTTTGCACGCACGCGACCACACTCCGGTGATGCGACGCACAGAGGAGGCAATGTGCTTAAATCGAAGGGTTGCTTCGATGAGTGGGCTGCGGGAGATGCGGTCTCGGCCGATGCAAATGGATGCAGTGCGGTGGTGAGTGGTGGTGAGAAGCAGAACGAGAGTGGTGCTGATGGTATGATGATGATGGTGATGCTAATGCAAATGGTCTGGCTCGAGCCCATCCCTTGTTTGCTTTTTCCATCATTCGCCCTTTCAATACTTGAAAAAAAACAACTATGGCTCAAAATGCAGGTGGAATGGGAACAACAAAATAGCATGAAAAGGTCCCATAGAAGAAAGCCTGGTGCAACACAAGGTCGACTGAAACAAGTGACGCGAAACAATAGAGCATACATATATCACTTTGTATAAAAGATAGCCATCCATATCAGAACACGGAATGTAAGAAAAGCTTATAAATGAACCATACCTCAACATAAAAAGCTTAGGACACACACCAAATAATAATAAAAATAAAAATATGGATCATTATGGTAGTATAAGTAATAATACTAATAAACTACAGAGAGATGCCACTGTTTACGAAAAGATAGAAACAGGAGGACTGGAGGACCATCATGGTCTCACCTCTTCCTTGAGTTTGTTGCGAATCTCCTCAAGATCGACAGCTCTCACTCCTTGTAGGCTGCACGGGGCACACCATGAAACCCCACACTGTGCCATGCCATGCCATGCCATTCCACACACACAATATGATCCATGAACATGCATGCAGAATCAGTTCATGCCTATCAGCAACACTTGAGGGTTCCTTTATTTAAATTTACTTCAATTGCAACATCATCACTTGAATGAAACACCAGCAAGAAGATCACCTGCAATGAAGTGACCAGCAATAAAACCAGCTGACATAGAATCACGTCTGATCGAATCACCTTCGCAAGCTGAGCAGCGGTGGCTCATCGGGGTAGGTGGGTGTGTGAGCGAAGTAGAGTGCCAGCCGCACTGCCAAAAAAGGTAGGGCAGGGTGGGGGTGAGCGGGGGGTGGAGGGAGATGGGGGTGGAAGAGGGGACGAGGAGGAAAGAGAGAAGAGAGGAGAAGATCTGAACACAGAAAAACGGGTTGAGAGCGACAAATGACCGGGGAAGTCAGCCGGCCCAGCCCTTGTTAGTTATACTGCATTGACTCACAATCTTACATTTACAGAGTGTTACACATTCTTACACGACATACACCACATGGCACACAGTACACACACGGCACATTGCACATGGCACATGGCACATGGAGTGAAAGTACCTGGAAAAGGTGTCGTCTCTTCCTCGTCGTCCCCCTGCTCACATCAACACGCACAAACACAATCCCACCGTGTGTCAGGAAAATGAACTGCCACTTCAATGCTTGAGAGTCGACCCACAAGGCAACACGCACAACCATGACCCCATCCCACCATGTAAAAATCTTTAATGCTGGGAACATCATAAGCTGTGCCATTAAACAAATGGCTTGCATGCCACCGACAATGAAACCAAGGCCAGTTACATTGGTTGGTGTCAATTTTGTCAACCATGTTAAATGGAAACATCACATTCACATAATCAGGCCAACACAAGCATGTTTCCATTTCCATAGCGGAAAGATCAGAACATGGTGGTCTAATCTGATATCGTGCCATGGCACAGCATGGCATGGCATGTCACCACGCATCACCATTACCTTAGGCAATATGGTGACGTGGGAGCATGGAGTGGCATAGCATGGCACGAGTTGAAATGTCCTTCAATTTTGTAGAATATCAGAAGCAAATGCATCACATTACCTTGGGTGATATTGTGATGAGGTAGCATGGCTTATCCGCTGGCATGCCCAGGCCTGATGTGTCGTCCACCCCTGCAGAGCACCGATGGGATGACCACCCGGGGATTGGGGGGGAGGGGAGGAGGAGGGGCGGGAGCTACATATTGTGATGAGGTAGCATGGCTTATCTGCTGGCATGCCCAGCCCTGATGTGTCGTCCACCCCTGCAGAGCACCGATGGGATGACCACCCGGAGATTGGGGGGGGTTGGGAAGGAGTTAAAACACTGGCAGAGCAACCTTGCATCCAGTTTGAGGGAGCAGCAGGGAGGGGGGAAGGGAGCAGGGAGGGGGAAGGTAGCAGTAGGGAGGGGGGAAGGGAGCAGCGTGAAGGGGGAGGGAGCGGAGCAGCAGGGAGGGGGGAAGGGAGCAGCAGGGAGGGGGGAAGGGAGCAGCAGGGACGGGGAAGGGGGCAGTAGGGAAGGGGGACGGGAGCAGCAGGGAGGAGGAAATGGAGAATAAGGAGGGATCGTGGCATTCGGCAAAACAAAGGGACTCACTTTCAAACTCGTCCATGAGAATCGCCTCTAGCGCCTCCACCTCCATCTGCTGCTCTCCCTCGTAGTCTGTGGAGCCGGGGCATGGGGCAGAGAGAGGGGCGAGGGGAGGGGAGGGGAGGGGAGGGGAGGGGAGGGGAGCGGGGGGAAGGGGAGAGGGGGGAAGGTAACAGGTGTTATTGCTGCGCCCTTCCAACACCCTCCACCTCCATCTGCTGCTCGCCCTCGTAGTCTGTTGTGGGCGGGCAACGACGGGGCAGCAGACCAGAGGAAAGAGGTGCGAGGGGAGGGGAGGGAAGTCAAGTCGAGCACAGCTGACCAGACCAGACACCCTGGGTTGACCAGACACCCTGGGTTGACCAGACACCCTGGGTTGACCAGACACCTTGGGTTGACCAGACACCCAGGGTTGACCAGACACCTTATTACCACAGATCTGAGCTGATTGGATGTCCACGACGAGGAAAAAAAATCTGGATTTGCATGTCGTTATCGCCATCACCACCATCATCACCACCATCACACCATCACCATTATCACACCATGACCATCACACCATCACCATTATCACCATCACCATCACCACCATCATCACCTGTCATCGTGGCAAAACCACGCTACGTGATGCCAATGGGTTGATAATAGAGTTGAGAGCGATGGTGCTGCTGCTGCTACGCTCCACAGGGCCTGGCCTGCCCGCCCGCCTCTTGAGCCGCCTCAAAAGTCGTTTTTTGAAAAATATAAAAAAGAGCCTGCGATTAACCACAGGGCCTGCCTGCTTGCAATGCGGTGTGGAGAGGGGGGGGAAGGAGACATAGCGGAGTCGACTCACTGGGAGCGGGCAAAGCGTTTTGAGCGTCCAGACCATGATGGAGTCGAAAAGACGAATCAAGATAGCAGAAAGCGGCTGAAGCATCTGCTGTTGAGTTGGCTCAAATGGGCAGGCAACAATTCTTCAATTACAAAACTCTTGTAGTCGGAAGTGTGAGAAAAGGCAGACGCAGCGGAACTGAGAGGTATGGGAGAAGGAAGAGGAGAGAGAGGAAGGGGACGGAGAGGAAGGGGAGGGAGGCGGGTGAGGGGGGAGAGGGAGTATGGGAAGGAATTCAGGAGGGGAGCGACGGCAGGAATGGAGGGACGGGAGGAGGGAAGGGACGCGAGGGGGAAGGGGCGGGAGGAGGGGAAGGAAGGGACAGGAGCGCGAGATGGGACAGGAGCGCGAGAGGGGACGGGAGCGCGAGAGGGGACAGGAGCGCGAGAGGGGACAGGAGCGCGAGACGGGACAGGAGCGCGAGAGGGGACAGGAGCGCGAGAGGGGACGGGAGCGCGAGAGGGGACAGGAGCGCGAGAGGGGACAGGAGCGCGAGAGGGGACGGGAGCGCGAGAGGGGACAGGAGCGCGAGAGGGGACAGGAGCGCGAGCCCGTGTGAGTTACATTCCAAGTCCTAGGAGAGTACAGGGGGGATGAAAACAGTGACCCACGGAGGTAGATGACACAGAGAGAACGCAGGGGGGTGGGGAGGGGAGGATATGGAAAGGAGGGAAAGGATGGAAACGGGGCGACGAGAGAGAACGAGGGGGAAGGCCGACGGTGATACAGAGAGAGGGAACAGTGGACGGTAAATGATCGGAAAGGAGAGAGCGAAAGAGATCACAGTAACGCATTTCGCGATTGGGAAACCGCTACTGACCTGATCCCCGTCAAAAACGTCCTCGATACCACGCTGGGTCCAATGCGTCGTGTTTCGAGGAGTCTAAAACCCGGAATCGCGGTCGGGCGATCGGTTCCGACCTAATTTTTGCCCGCTTCGGCCCAGTTAACCGTCGCGATCGGAACGTTATTTTGACGCGTAACCGCTGTCGCTTCGGCACAGGACCCCAGGGGACTCCTGCTGGATACTAAGATTCTGGATGGGAGTGGCTATTCTCTGCTGGTGTTTTCCTTGCTGTACTGGGGATTGCCTTCCTGTGTGACAGTGCACAGCACCTTGCGAATGTGGTTGAATGAAAAGTCAGGTAACTTTGGCGAACAAGCGACACTCGCCCAGCAATTTTGACACCCCACAAATTCGCGAGCCAGTTTCCAAACCAACCTTCCAAGCCTTGAAACCTGCACACCAACATCATCAGAAGAGAAGGAACACGTGAGCACGTTAGATCCTCACGTGCTCACCAAGCTTTCCCTAACTTCGTTCTACGAGTTAGTCTTCTCCACAGGTCACCTGTAAAGGCCACAAGTCTTAGCAGCTGCTCTTTCGTTTCCCAGTTAAAAATGGAGCATTCGACGCTGGAACGAATTCGAGACAAAGCCAAAAGGAAGTTAAAGTGAGGGTCGTTCGATGTATTTGTAAGCTCCCTGCTGTGTTGATAGCTTTGCACATCTGAGCACCCCCTCTTCCCGCAGGTTGCTTCATAATCTCAAACCTTCTACATCTCTGCCGTCAGAGGTTGGTTTCACGTGTTACACGTGTTTAGAACACACGTGTGACATGCGCTTATGTTCTCCTCTTACAGGAGAATGTCAGCTTGTCGACGCCTTCTCCCTCTCGTGGGCCGGTGTCCAAGAAAAAACAAAAGTTTTCAAGTCCATTACCCGCGAATCTGGCACCCACGCCGCCTGCAGTCTGCAAGTAATCTGCTCGCTGTTCTGTCTTTCGCAGCACCGCTTACTCCTTCTAACCTTTTCCTGGATCCTCAGAGGAGTCACGGAAGTGAGAACGTGCATGGCTGAAAAGGCAAAACGGTTAACTGCGTCTCAGACAGTGACTCGCCATCCGAGCGATCTTTCAAAATCCAACACGTTGGACATTCAGGTTGGACTCTCTCATGATTTTCGCATTATGTTTCCAAAAGTATGTCTCATTTGCTCGTGTACCAGAGGATGAAGGTTCCCGTTGGTCTTGTGGAAATGGAGCCTCCGACAAGCTTGATTGGTCAAAAGACGTCAGTGCTTATTGGTAAGAGTCTTCTAGGTTATAACATTGCTAACGTACCTGTGAGAGACATATTGACTTCGACCTTTGACAGATCGTGCACCTTTCAAGCCAACGCCAACTACAGACGAACTTGCTTCACTTGTCCTTCCTGGATCCACTAAACTTCTTAGGGCGCTGTTTCTTCCTGCTGTTTACAATGTGGATGCTGGGTGTCAGAGAGCCGGACTAGCCATCCTGTTGGATGAGCCATCAACCACAAGTGATGGGTGAGTTGAGTTGAGTGTTGTCATTCCAAACTCAAATCATACTGACCTCAAACGCCACTGTGTGGAATGCAGAAACTGGTTTGTTGGTACAAATGAGTTTTTACCTTTTCCCAGCACAAGCAAAACTGAACACGCAGTTGAAATTTTGCCCGATATTAGAACGCAAGCTGTTCCTTTGGATACACATGCTTTACGTATGGAGGATTCAGCCGAAGACCAAGGCCATGCCGAAGTGATGGAGACTGGATCTTGGAAAGCATATAAAAGGCAAGTTTCTGAGTTCCGTTTAGCTTGCTCCAGCAAAGAGCGCATGAAAGCAGAGGTAGCACTCTGGCTGCGTGCAGATGGTGGATTACTGGAACTAATCTAGGAATAGCTGTAAAAGCTTCAGCAGTCACTTTTTTGACGAAATGTGTGCAAGAATTTCTCCAAAGCACCATCTTCAAGCTTCACACCGAAACCCTTGAATGTGTAAAACTCTGCCACTTCGCAAAAACTCAGAGGGAGAGGGGGGTAAGGAATGTAAGGAGGGCGAAGAGGGAGTGGAGGGTCAGAGAGAGGAGGGTGAGTACGGGTGAGTGTGGAGGGAGAGGGGGGTGAGCGAGAGGAGGGAGAAGAGGGTGAGGGAGAGGAGGGAGAGCAAGGGGAGGTAGCGGAGGTTGAGGAAGGGGAAAAAGAGGAGTGTAGGCACGGGGGGGAGGGAATAGGTGAGGGAAGCGAGGAGGGGAGGAACAGGCGGAAGAAAGTGATGAAAGGAGAGGAGAGACAGGAGAAGGGAGGGAAGAACGGAGAAGAGGGACGGGAGAGGGAAGGAACGGGAGGCGGGGGAGACAGGAGCGGAAGCTCGTGGTGCTAAAATCCCAGAAGTCAAATACGATATCATGCTTCTGTTGCACTTCTGCTCCGGACCTTTTGAGGATGGAGGCTGATTCTGAAGTCCATATGAGGAAGCCCTAAAGCAAAAGAGCGTTTGTATGGCAGCAGCGGAGAATGAGGATGCAAAGCAAACACAAAAAGGCAAAACGTCTTGAATCCTCCAAAACTAGACTGTGCCACCAGGGAATCGAACCCGGGTCTGCACCGAGCTGATGGCAGGGTGCTATTCTACCTCTTTATTGACAGTATAGTAAATCTACAATGTATACAAGGCAAATCCAGACACCTAGTGCATGGAAAGACATGCAGGCTAATCCTATTGTGAGGCCTACAAATAGGCCTCTGAGATGTCTCAGTGGTCCTCTCCCAAGTAGGCAAAGTCAGCTGCAGAAAGAGAAGTCACCTCGGGTGGTGCGTGGTTGACGCCCTCGGTAAAACGAATTTGTGCACGACGACAAACAGTGCGAGCCTGCTCACGTTGGTGGACCAGAGAAATCCGTTTGTAGAAGTTGGTCTCAAACAGCAGGGGAAGAGAATCTGTAGCACCACTCAAGTCGCGGAGTTGTGACGCCCCTTTGCGGCTACATTGGCGAAGGAAGTTGTTGAACGAAGAGCCGAAGCAACCGAAGGTTTCGATGACAAGGGGAAACAGTTTGATGTCTGGACGGTCATGAAGTGCTGTAGCATAGTGGGTGGTCTTCTCACTTTCACGAGTGGCTGCTGCTGAACCAATCACCGTAGCTGCGTTGGAGTGCGGAAACCCCTTTTGTGGATCAGCAACAGAAACATCCAAGGCCCAGGTGGTACCAGAGCTAATGTCGCGGCACGTGATGTCTGTGCGGCGGCCAGGCAGGAGATGCTGGTCTTCCATCTGCGCAGAGAACCCAAGCTCCAAGGCAATGCGATGAACTTCTCGTTTGATTGCGTCGTGCACCTTAGTAGGCTCGTTGTTGCTAGGGCAGCGAAGGACATGAGAATGGATGGAAGGATCGGTGAACGGGGAGTTGCAGGTGCAGGTGAGCGAAGATGAAAGGTGAGGGAGAGGAAGGCCTAAACGGATAGCTGCTGCAATGCGCCATTCAGTCTTTGAAAGCTGCATGTGCGGGGAGGATGGAGCCACAGTGAGCCAGTCACCTGCATGCGGGCCCTGCAAAGAGGTTAGACGAGCAAGGCGAAGCGGGGACGTTACTGTGGCTCGAACCTTCTCCAGCAAATCGGCTTCGAGGTGTTGGGAGAGATGAGTAAAGAGTTTAGGAGGGTAGCCCGATTGAAGCACAGGCCATGATGGGAAGCGATCACGAATGTCTTGGGGAAGCATAGTCATGGTGGATGAGATTGAAGGGTCGAGGAGGTTAATGGAGTCCGTGGTGACGTAGGGGCGGAAAAGAGGAGCACCATCAGTGATGAAGTGGGTGGATAAGGTCGAAACTGTCTGCGCCCAGCTACAGAGGTAACTGAGGGGGGCGATGGATGCAGAGCTGCGAATGCCGAAGCCACCTAAGCGGATAGGGAGCGAGGCTTGGAGGCGGGCCGATGTGGACTGTTCAGAGGTGGGATTCCAGTACTCAGAGCCCAGGAGCTGAGAGAAGTGGCTGAAAATGGTGCTGTCCCATGAAGAGAGAAGCTCTTGGATTTCGGGAAAAGGTGCGACAGTTCGGAGGAGGAAAGAAGGTCGGGCAGTGATGCATAAGGAAAGGATCCGTGAGGCAATCTGTGGGTCCTGCAGTTGATGCAGTAAGGGGAGGGAGGAAGTGAAAGAATCGAGTTTGTCACGAACTGTAGAGATGATGTAACCGTCGGAGCCAGTAGGAACGCCGACGACAGTGAGACCGTTTGCAGCGATGGAAATACCCGGGGGCGGAATGCAGTGTTCAGGCAGGTCCATAGGGGCCCATAAAGAGCACTTAGAGGGTTGGACTGTAAGGCCGAGAGAGAGAAGGCGGGAGGTAAGGTCAGTGTATGCGGAAAAGACGTCTGAGGGAGGGCCGACCAAGTAGGACCACTAGACCACTGGCACATTGGATGAAAAATATTGTGAGCATGTTTTATTTTGTCACTCTCTTCCCTTCGTTTCCCACTCTTGTACACAAAGCTTATTGCTCACGCAAGAGAACAGTTTATTATCCTCTTCAGGCCGCACAACATGAGCTGTGCCGCACCCAGCCATGGCCACATTATTCCCACCCCACACCCATGCATGCAGCAGTTGTGATCACTACACCCATGCACACATCCCCCTGCTCCCCATGCTCTCTACTTGACAATGAGGGGCCGCATCATCTCATTGCCCGCGTGCTCCAGGATGTGGCAGTGCAGTGCCACACACGCACCCCGGGCCACGTTATTCCCACACCCATGCACGCCGCTGCTGTGCTCTATACACCCATACGCCATACTCTATCCACACGCCATACTCTCTGGGCTCTCTACTTGATGATAAGCGGGCGCATCATGTCGTTGTCCTCGTGCTCCAGGATGTGGCAGTGCCACACGTATCCCGGACCACGCGTGGGGTTGAAGGGGAACGGCGACCCGTCCTGCACGCACCACACCCACACACAGTGACCAACACAGATTATACATCAGTACACTCCAGGCCTTGGAGGTGAGGTACCCACCTCACTTTCAGTAAACAGTCAGAACCAATGGAGAAGGTGTTGCAAGTAACGCCTCTGAAAACAGAGGGAGGCAGGAGTGGGACCAGAATCTCACCTGGGAGAACCATCCAGTCCAGAGGGTGAGCACCTCATCCCGCTGCAGCACCGTGGTGTCCTTCCACCCGCGCTCGTACTCCCCCACACTGCCCGCCCTCCCACTCACACGCACGCTGCTCCCCTCCCCCGTGAAGCAGCTGGGCAGGGAGGCGTTGCCAGGAAAGGAGCAGAGGCCGCTGCGGTAGGCGGTGCGGTTGAAGGGGCGGCGGGCGAGGGGGCGGTGCATGATGAGGTGCAGGTGGATGGGGTGGGCGTCTGGCGTGTCGTTGATTATGTGCCATAGCTCCTCCGCGTTCTGCTCGCAGTACACAGCACATGGCACATGGCACATGGCACATGGCACATGGCATATAGCACATGGCACATGGCACATGAGGCATGGGAAAGAGGGCATCAACGGGGAATGTATCGGTGGGTGTCTGGCGTGCCGTTGATAATGTGCCATGGATCCTGCGAGTTCAGCTCACAGCGTATACAGATGTGGCACATGGCGCATCGCGCATCGCGCATGGCATATAGCACATGGCACATGGCATCTAGCACGCGGAGTGGGAAGATGGCGGCAACGGGGTGAATGCGAAACATGTGGATGGGATAGGTGCGAGCGACTGTGCCAGGCGTGGTGCTGACGATGTGCCTTGCCTAAACACTCACCCGCTTGGGAGTCTCAGTGGGGGCGTCACTGAAGCCGCGGCCATCGAAGGTGATGCGTTGGGGGGAAGACAGCTGCACGGCTCTCATCCACCTCTCCTTGGTTACACGCGAGAGACGCAGCTTCGGAAGGGACTGCCACGGCGGGAGGGGGGTGGGATGTTAGGAGAGGAGAGAGAGTGAGGCGCACAAGCAGGCCTGTACGGGGCAAGACAGCTGCACGGCTCTCATCCACCTCTCCTTGCTCACACGGGGGAGATGGAGCTTGCGAAGGGACTGGCACGGCGTGAGGGTGGACGTGGGGAGGAAAGAGGGGAAGGGAGGGTTTGGGAAAGAGAGGTGAGGAGGGGTGTGGGAAGAAGATAGGTGAGGGAGTGTGGAAAAGAATGAGGTGACGGGGGTGGGTGGGGAGGAGAGAGGTGAGGCGGGAGTGTGGGGAGGAGAGAGGGAGAGAGGAGGGGGCTGACGAGTCAAGGAGCGTAAGTCAAAGGGCGGTTGGAGTGGGGCGCACTACCTCAACGGCTGCCATTCACCTCCTAGGAGGGTATTGAGGTAAGCCTAACCCAACCCAACCCAACCCAACCCGTGCAGCCCACCCAACCCGTGCTGCCCACCCAACCCGTGCTGCCCACCCAACCTGTGCTGCCCTTCCCACGGCGCAACTCACAACAAGCTTCTTGGGCACAGGAGGCGACGGCACAACACCCCCCGAGCGGTCCACAATGAAGCGCATCACCACCCCCGTGGCGTTGCGGCCCGGCGCCTTGCCCGAGGGGAAGGGCGCGGGGGCGTCGTTGGTGAGAATGACGTCGGCACAGGAGGCGGGCAGCGAGGCGAAGTCGACGAGAATGTCGTGGCGCTCCCCCGGGGCCAGCAGCAGCGAGGCGCGGGTCACGGGGCGGGGCAGGTAGCCTCCGTCCGTGCCGATCTGGTGGTGTTATGGGAAGGGGAGAAGAGTAAGAGGGGGAGAGCTTATTTCCACTCAAAAGTCAGCACAGGAGGTGGGGAGAGAGGAGAAGCCGACGAGGAGCTTATATCGTGGCGCTCCCTTGGGGCGAGCAGGAGCGAGGAGTGGGTGACGGGGCGGGGCAGGTAGCCACCATCCGTGCCGATCTGGTGGGATGGGGAGAGGAGAGCGAGGGGGAGCGGGAGGGGTTGGGGGGGGGAGGAGGGGGAGGGGGGGAAGGAGGGGGAGGGGGAGGGGGAGGGGGAGGGGGAGGGGGAGGGGGGAGGGGGAGGCGCATTGGTAAGTTTGGCAAGGACAGCGAGGGCGGGGCAGGTAGGCACTGTCCATGGCAATCTGAAGACGGGGAGAGCCAGGGTGGGATGGGGGACGTGATGGGACTGGACATGCTTGCTGGGTGGGCAGCACACACCTGGGTGATGGACACCTAGATATGCTTGCTGGGTGGAAATTGTCACATTGACAGGGATGCGAGAGAACAGAGGGGCGGGGAATGAGCATGGTGGGGGATATGGGAGGGTGCAGAGGGATGTGAATATGTGGAGAGGAGGGACTGTCACGAGCACAGATAGCTGATGCTGCAGCGCGAGCGCTGCTGCTGAACTCTTTGTCACATAAAAAGGGGCAATATTGCTTTGAGTCGACTCAAAACTTGCCCTCGAACATGCAATACCTGATGATGCTGCAGTACGGGCACTGTTGCCGTCAGCAACACACATACATGTGCCCATGACCCATGCAGCAGAGAGCAGACAGCACAGCATAGCACACACCTGCCCGATGGGCAGCACAAAGTATAGCACATCACACCTGCACGATGGGCAGCACACACCTGCACGATGGGCAGCACACACCTGCACGATGGGCAGCGCATGGCCTGTGATGGGCGGAGTGAAGTCGGGGTAGTTGGAGGGGGCGGCGCACACGAAGCGCAGATTGAAGAAGCGGCTGCTGGCCGCCCCCAGCACTCGGAAGCGGTACCTCGTGCGCCTCACTGATAGGTACGGCCAGACCTGTGCGGTACGGGGAGAGGAGAAGTGAGGACGGAATAATGTGAGGCATGCCAAGAACCAAGGAGGTGCGTGGCTCGCTTTACTTGAGACAGAGGACCAGAAAGAGGAAGAAGTGGCAGAAGAAGAGAAAGATGAAGCGAAGGAGAAAGGGAAAGCGGAAGAGAAAGGGACAGCAGAAACGATGGTATGACGAAGAGCAGAGGAAGAAGCAGAGGCAGAGGAGGGAGAAGAGGAAGAAGAGGAAGCAGTGAGGGGGGGGGGAGGAAGAAGCAGGGGCCACGCAAGCACGACTCACCAGGCCGCTGACAAGGATGGTGGTTCCGAAATACTCAGGCTCCCAGCCCTTGGAGGGGTAGTCAATCGACCCGTTGGCAAAGAACGAGCGGTCCGAGATCGCCAGTGGCACAGTAAACTCCGGGGCTGGAAGCTGCGCGCGAAGCTTCCTCTCGACGCCTTTGGGGTCGGTGAGGACGTACAGCCCGGCCATGCCAGCAGCCACGTTGAGGCGCGTGATGCCGACGGCATGGTCGTGGTACCACAGGGTGGCCGCCTGCTGGTCGTTGGGGTACGTGTAGCGCCGCGAGCGGTACGTGGGGCCTGTTTCCCCGAACTGCGTGAACCACGCCTGTGGGTGGCCGTCGGAGTGCGATGGGGTCTCCCCGCCGTGCCTGTGGATCACTGCAGGGGGGAAAGTGCAGGGCAGGGCAGGGCAGGGCAGGGCAGGGCAGGGCAGGGCAGGGCGGGCAGGGCAGGGCAGGCAGGGCAGGGCAGGGCAGGGCAGGGCAGGGCAGGGCAGGGCAGGGCAGGGCAGGGCAGGGCAGGGCAGGGCAGGGCAGGGCAGGGCAGGGCAGGGCAGGGCAGGCAGGGCAGGGCAGGGCAGGGCAGGGCAGGGCAGGCAGGGCAGGGCAGGGCAGGGCAGGGCAGGGCAGGGCAGGGCAGGGCAGGGCAGGGCAGGGCAGGGCAGGGCAGGGCAGGGCAGGGCAGGGCAGGGCAGGGCAGGGCAGGGCAGGGCAGGGCAGGGCAGGGCAGGGCAGGGCAGGGCAGGGCAGGGCAGGGCAGGGCAGGGCAGGGCAGGGCAGGGCAGGGCAGGGCAGGGCAGGGCAGGGCAGGGCAGGGCAGGGCAGGGCAGGGCAGGGGCAGGGCAGGGCAGGGCAGGGCAGGGCAGGGCAGGGCAGGGCAGGGCAGGGCAGGGCAGGGCAGGGCAGGGCAGGGCAGGGCAGGGCAGGGCAGGGCAGGGCAGGGCAGGGCAGGGCAGGGCAGGGCAGGGCCAGGGCAGGGCAGGGCAGGGCAGGGCAGGGCAGGGCAGGGCAGGGCAGGGCAGGGCAGGGCCAGGGCAGGGCAGGGCAGGGCAGGGCAGGGCAGGGCAGGGCAGGGCAGGGCAGGGCAGGGCAGGGCAGGGCAGGGCAGGGCAGGGCAGGGCAGGGCAGGGCAGGGCAGGGCAGGGCAGGGCAGGGCAGGGCAGGGCAGGGCAGGGCAGGGCAGGGCAGGGCAGGGCAGGGCAGGGCAGGGCAGGGCAGGGCAGGGCAGGGCAGGGCAGGCGCAGGGCAGGGCAGGGGCAGGGCAGGGCAGGGGCAGGGCAGGGCAGGGCAGGGGCAGGAGGGCAGGGGCAGGGCAGGGCAGGGCAGGGCAGGGCAGGGCAGGGCAGGGCAGGGCAGGGCAGGGCAGGGCAGGGCAGGGCAGGGCAGGGCAGGGCAGGGAAGGGCAGGGCAGGGCAGGGCCAGGGCAGGGCCAGGGCAGGGCAGGGCAGGGCAGGGCAGGGCAGGGCAGGGCAGGGCAGGGCAGGGCAGGGCAGGGCCAGGGGGGCATAGGGAGGGGGCTCTGAGACGGTCGACGAGAGACGTCGAGATGGAGAGAGCAGAGTGGAGAGGGGAAGGGGATGAGTGGAGAAAGGGATTGAAGAGGGGAACGAGATGAGTGGAGGAGAGTGGGGACGAGAGGAAGGGACAGGATTGAGCGGAGGAGGAAGGGGAAGGGGTTGCGAGAAGCGGTTGTTACCAATGGGGATGCCGCCGTGCTTGGGATAAGCAACGCCCATGAGGGTGTAATCCACTGTAAACATGTGCTCCCTGTCCCTCAGGTGGTTTTCCCACCGCACCTGGTGGGCTCAGCGCACATGCCAAGCACACAAACATGCACACACAGACACACTTGGAGAGTGAGCAACGCCCATGAGGGTATCGTCCACTGTAAACATGTGCTCCCTGTCCCTCAGGTGGTTCTCCCACCGCACCTGCCATGCACACACACACACATGGACACACAGACAGACAGGGAAGACAAGGATTGCAACACAGTGCACACACACCTGGTGCGCAGTGCACACACACCTGCCATGCACCGCAGGGAGCAAAGAGGCAACTCAAATGCAAATGCACACAAATGCAATCAAATGCAAACAATTGGTGCAATCAAATGCACACAGGGAACACAATCGCAACCCAGGCCCAAAAGCATTGAATCTCCCATGCACACTCGCAACAAAACCAAGTGTACCACCATTCGCCACTCTCCAACCCTCCATGCCATTCCACCACCCTCCACCCCTCCAAATCCCAAACACCACCTTCCACCCCTCCATACACCACTCTCCACCCCTCCGTGCCATCACTCTCCACCCTTCCGTACCTTGGTGGCAATCCCGCGCCTGGCAACAAGAGTGGGGCCAGGGTAGTGAGCAGTGCGCTCGTTGAGCCCATAGGCGTACAGCTTCGTGGGGGGCAGGTCGCGGTGCAGCTTCTGTTGAAAGAGGGAGGGGGGTGTGTGGGAGAGGGGAGTGGCAGGGTGTAGGAGAGATGAGAGGGCAGCATGTGAGTGAAGGAGGTCTACTGTTGAGCCCATGTGTGTGTGCGAATGGCAGAGTGGGTTGATGGGGAAGTGTGTGGTCGGGGGAATGAGGGTGATGAGCCCATTGGCGTATAGCGGAGTGAAAGGGGTGAGACTTGGAAACTGTAGAAGAGGGAGGGAGAGTGATACTGAATGCGAGAGTGAGAGCGAGAGAGTGAGAAAGAGAACGACAAGATGACAGCCAATCACGATGGCACCCCAGAATCAGCACTACACATTCTCTCATTCGCCCAGCCCAGCACCCGCCAACCCAACAGACTCTCCATGTACGCGCTTGAAACAGCCTCAGAACCATTACAACATGCACTTTCCAACTGAGTCCCACTCGCCTGGTAGATCTGATACGCGCCGATGCGGATCGTCCTCCCCGTGGACGCGTCCACCTCCACGCGCGGCGCGGCCGCCAGGTCATCCACGAACCTGCACAGCGGCTTCGAGGGAAACTCGTTCACGCACGCCGGCCCCGCTAACGGCGCGCCCTGTACAGTCACACCGGGAACCGCGGCGGCGGTCAGGAGAGCAACGGCAGCGGCAAGGACGGCGGCTGCGAAGGCATGAGGTGCTGGCGGCTCGCGGAGGAGCCGGTGACGGCGAGCGCGAGCGCGGGTGGGAGCGCGGGTGTGAGCCATCGTGATGGCGGAAGAGAGTGCTGCGAGCAGGTTGAGACGGCCGTTCTGATCGCAGGTGCTTATGGTTACTTTCCAGTCGACTAAAAGGATTATCGGTGAGTAAGGGCGGTGAAGGTGTGGTTCGTCGAAGGGCTTTATAGGTGAGACGATCGTGCTGAGCCGCACTGGAGACGACCGCTTCGAGTCGGCATGAGTAAATGCCGAGTGCTGCTACTCTGATGAGCGTCGCGTGCGTCCTCGTGCACCTGGCTGTCAAATGGGGTGTCGCATGACTGTCGCATGGATGTCGTATGGATGTCACATGACTGTCGCATGGGTGTCGTACGGATGTTGCAGGACTGTAGAATGGGTGTCGTATTGGTGTCTCCTGGACACATGGCGAGTCGCTGCCATCGCTGTCGTTTCTCGCCGTCCCCTGCGACGACCCAAGGGTGCTGACTTGGATTGACTTGCGTTCGTTCCGAACGCGACAATCGCGGCATCGCGTAACCATGAATCTACGGTCACACGACGCTGACGTAAGACAGGAGACGCGCTGTCGATTCCGTCTGTTTCTGATCCGAACGCGTTAAGCTCCGCGTCGTGCCCTGTCGCCTTCGCCGTCTGACAGAACATGGCGGTGCGGCTTCTGTGCCTTCCCGACCCGTCTGCAGTCCGCCACCCGTTCTGGACCGGACATCAGCGGTGCGAGACGCGCCAGATGCGGTCACATCGGTTTCGCCTCGACGTGCCGGCAACGCGACAGCGCCAGGCTGTCGAGACCTTCTGGCCATGGCGAAGTGGCAGACGGCGACTAACGGCAGAACCTACGAACTGGAACCTCACAGCAGCATGATGGGAATGGAAAGGGAATTCCTGTGGTCTCATCGCCCGTCGCCGGTCACTTGTCGCCCATCGCTTGTTTTTAGTTGAGCTGACCAACTCGTTTGCCATCAGTCACCTCCATATATTCCGCACTGTTGAATGTATCGATGTGTTACGGGTGCAATGAATCGAAGTAGCGAGAATTGCACTAGGGTGTCAAACGAGTACAAAATGTGAGCGAAGGCATGAGCGAACATTTATACGCGAAACATGCAAACGGTAACGCGGTGCGTGCGAGCTGGCTAGTGCTATGCTGGAAGCGAGGCTCGGGCTAGTCCCGAAGCGTAGGCCGACACGGCCAGGCCAGCAGTGCGAGGTTTGGTGAAACAGTGCGCGCGAAGTCGGCGAAGCCCCGTTAGCAGTAACGGGCGAACAACGGCTGCTGCTGTACGTGATGTTGCAGGGTGCGCTAAGGAATATCGAGAAAATTCCTTACACTACCCCCCCCCTCAAGAAGCCCCCTCCGCTACGCGAGTGCGTGTATATCGCGGAAGCCCCGGCTCCTCAGGTACACTTGCAGGGCAGGGTGGTTTTCGATGTTGGCCAGGGACACCCAGCTATCCTCAGTTGGCGTGCGATCCTTCCAGCGAACGAGTAATTCAATCCTCCTGATTCCCGTGGGGTGTCGAATCCGATGGCTCAGGATTTTTTCGGGCTCGATGATCGGCTCCGATGCAGGGCGAGTCATGGATGGCGGGCGGTGGCGAGGCAGTTGGCTTGTGGTTGGGATGTATGGGCGAAGCAAGCTGACGTGGAATGAAGGGCTGATGTACCAGTCCGTCGGCAACAGTAGGTGAGCTGTTACTGGGGTAATCATGTCAGATTTATATGACATAGCTGCTGTAGGCTATAGTGGGGTAGCACATATGGGGTACAGCTTTCTAGGGTTTGTACTTGTACCCAACTTTCCCTTAGTCATTTCCATTCCTCGTAATTCTCACATGGTATAGAGCGGGTTCCCTCGTGGGAACGCTTCCTAGGGCCCACCCAATCGATTTTTTTTTCCTGCCCGGAGCGCGCTTCGCTCCTGCCCGAGTCGCGCCCCGCGTGCCCTCCCTACCGTCGCGCCCTCTCTAGGCCCCTTACGGCCCCTTCGCGTCGCCCTTAGCGGCCCCTCTTACGGCCCTTCCAGCCGCCCTTACGGCCCCTTGCGCCGCCCTTACGGCCCCTCACTCCTCCCAGTTTCCTCCGACAGAGGCCCCACTGCAGACGCTTCACATGGACGTGTGGGGCCCGGCCCGCGTTCGTGGACAGGGTCACGAGCGCTACTTCCTGCTGGTGGTTGACGACTACTCGCGTTACACCACAGTCTTCCCCTTGCGCAGCAAGGGTGATGTCACTGAGGTGTTGATCGACTGGATCCGCGCGGCTCGTCTCCAGCTCAGGCAGAGCTTCGGCTCGGACTTTCCTGTTCTGCGTCTGCACTCTGACAGAGGCGGAGAGTTCTCCTCTGGCCTTCTGCGAGCCTACTGTCGTGCACGAGGCATCCGCCAGACCTTCACGCTTCCGGACTCTCCACAGCAAAATGGGATTGCTGAGCGCCGCATTGGCATGGTCATGGACGTCGCTCGTACATCCATGATGCATGCGGCTGCCCCCCATTTTCTGTGGCCGTTTGCGGTTCGGTACGCGGCGCATCAGATCAGCCTTCAGCCCAGGGTCTCCATGCCGGAGACCTCCCCAGCTTTGCTGTGGACGGGGAAGGTTGGCGATGCGTCTGCGTTCCGTGTCTGGGGATCTCGGGCGTTTGTCCGCGACTTGTCTGCGGACAAGCTGTCCCCTCGTGCTGCTCCCTGCGTCTTCCTTGGCTTCCCCCCTGACGCGCCAGGGTGGCAGTTCTACCACCCCACCTCTCGCCGTGTTCTGTCCTCCCAGGACATCACGTTTGACGAGTCGGTCCCCTACTACCGTCTCTTCCCCTACCGCACTCCGTCCCTCCCCCCGCCACCGCTCTTCCTTGTGCCAGGTCCCCCCCCGGTAGACCCCCTTCCCCCTCAGGGTCCTGCCCCTTCAGGTGTGTCCCAGGTAGACGCAGTTGAGCCTGTGGAGGTTGCTGGTGACTCTGGTGCTGCTGAGGGTGCTGAGCCTGGGGGTGCTGACTCTGGGGGTGCTGAGCGTGTGGGTGCTACGCCTGGGGGTGCTGAGCCTGGGGGTGCTACGACTGGGGGTGCTGAGTCTGGGGGTGCTACGCCTGGGGGTGCTGAGCCTGGGGGTGCTACGCCTGGAGGTGCTGAGCCTGGGGGTGCGGAGCCTGAGGGAGCTGGGCCTGCTCGTGTGGCGTCTGGCGGTGCTGTGCCTGGAGGTTCTCCGGGTGCTTCGTCTCGGCGGGAGCCACTCTCTCCACAGGAGCTGCGCGAGTGGTTTGCCCGGCGTTGGAGGCGTGCTGCTGGAGCTGGAGGTTCTTCGGCTGCTGAGGGTGCTGGTGCCGCGGGTCCCGGAGGTGCTCGTACTGGGAGTATCGGAGCTGCTGGGCCTGCGGGTACGACTGGAGCTGGAGCTGCTGAGGGTGTTGGCGCTGAGGCTACTACTGTCGGTCCTGGAGGCGGTCCTGCTGGGGGTACTACTGGTGCTGCTGGAGGTACTGGAGCTGGAGGTGCTGCTGGCGCTGGTGCTACCACTGGGGGTACTGGTGCTGTCCCTGCTGTGTCTGGAGTCGCTGCGCGGCCTCGACCGTACTTCGTTCCGCTCCTTGAGCAGGTTCTTGGTCTCCCGCCTTCTACTGGTCCTCCTCCTCCCTTAGAGTGTCCACAGCCTGTCCCGTCACAGTTACAGTTACAGCCGGCCTCCCCACTGCCTGCTCCTTCTCCCTACACTGGTCCTACTGGAGGTCTTGCTGAGCGTCGTGAGCCTGCGTCTCGCCCTGCGTCGCCTGTCCGTGCTGCTCGCACTAGTGGTCGTGGTTCGCGTCAGCGTCCTCCTCCTGTCCCTGGCACGCACCGGATGTCTCTGCGTCCGTCCACTGCTCCTCTGCGTGCCCCTTTGCCTTCTCCTCCTGAGTCCTCTCTTCCTGCTCTTCCTGACCCGGAGTCGGACTCTCTTCGTGCTGCCAGTCCTACTGTCACGCGTCTCTGTCAGAATATTATGCTCTAGCCTGTAGTGGGGTGCTCTATAGCGAGTACAACCCTTCTAGGGTTTGCTATTTGTATCCTCATTCTTGCTAGTGCAACCCCTCCTTCTTTGCCTAAACTTTTCTTGCCTAGCTAGGACTTACCTAGCTATGGCTCCTAACTCTACCTACCATACCTACTATTTTCACATGGTATTAGAGCGATATGCTCCTGGCCTGTGGGCCCCACCTCACTGCTTCCGCTGCTACTGCTACTCCCTGTCCGCCGCGCGCCCCGTGGTGCGCGGCGTCGAAATTAGGGTTTTTCAGCCCGCCGTGCGCCCCGAGGCGCGCGGCGGTTTTCTGCCCGCCGTGCGCCCCGAGGCGCGCGGCGGTTTTCTGCCCGCCGTGCGCCCCGAGGCGCGCGACGGGTTTCTGCCCCGTCACTCGGCGCGTCGCCCCCAGGAGGCGCTACGACGGGCGACGGGGACCCGCGCGTCGCCCCCCGTCGCCCGTCGTGGCCTGCGCGCGGCCCGTACAGCCGGCGCGCGGCCCGTACGGGCTGCGCCAGGCCCGCGCGCGGCCCGTACGGGCTGCGCCAGGCCCGCGCGCGGCCCGTACGGGCTGCGCCAGGCCCGCGCGCGGCTCGGGCCGCCTGCGCGCGGTTCGGGAGGCTGTGCCAGGCCCGTGGGCGGCCCGTTCTTCGCTGCCCCTGTCCTCCCCGCTGTCCCCCGTGCTTCTGAAGGCGCCCCACCCCTCCTTCTGCCCGTTCTCCTGGATTAGGGTTTGGGGGTGGGGGGTATGGGGGTGCAGCTTCTGTGTGCCGTTCCCTGCTCCTCCTCCTCCTCCGTCTCCCTGTGCTGCAGCTGCCGCTGAGGGGGGGTGGACCTGTTGGAGCCGTCGGAGTGGTACTAAGGGAGGGTGAAGGGGGAGTGGAGCTAGGGGTGAAGCAGGGGGTGTGTGTCAGGGGGGGTGGTACTGTTTGGGGGAGGTTGAACGGAGGTTGCCGTCGTGTCGCCAGCAGCACCTGTAGTCCGGGGAGTTGCTCCGGTAGCCCAGTCGTAGCCACCTGTGCCAGTCGCCCGTGGGT